TATCTCTATTATTAAAGGGGGATCGAAGTCGTGATGGTTCGACCTCCCCTCGTGGTTCGACCACCCCGTTCGATCCCCCCGCCTCGTACGACGCATCCCATCCCTCGATATGTTTCTGCAATCTCTACTATTAAAGGGGGATCGAACGTCGTGATGGTTCGACCTCCCCTCGTGGTTCGACCACCCCGTTCGATCCCCCCGCCTCGTACGACGCATCCCACCCCTCGATATGTTTCTGCAATCTCTACTATTAAAGGGGGATCGAACGTCGTGATGGTTCGACCTCCCCTCGTGGTTCGACCACCCCGTTCGACCCCCCGCCTCGTACGACGCATCCCACCCCTCGATATGTTTCTGCAATATGTTTTTGAATAGTATATGTACTATATGTTTCCGAATAGTATATGTATGTTCAACAGTATTCAAATTCTTTCTTTTCAGAGGGAAATAATCTTTTCGATGGTAAATATATTCCAAAGCAATAGCTATCATTAGATTCACTAATTCATGCATTATCGATAGTGGTAGAGGCAGAGAAAATGTTGTCAGATTAGAAGAGTGTAGGTTCTATGGTGATGGGCACGATTGTGGTGTGGAGCCTAAATTTGTTGCTATCACTGCCATCAGTAGAGGATGCTAGCATTGCCTAAATTTGTTGCTCCGTGGCAACGCACGGGCATTCAGCTGGTAGTATATAAAGGCCCCCCTCTTCTCCCAAACCCGTCGCTCCCTCACCATCCACGATCTCTCCTTTCTCAACCCACCCGATTGCAGGGCTAGGGAAGCAGTTTCCTCGTCCGCCTCGTAGCCGAGCGCCCCTCCCTTCTCGTTCCCCTTCCCCTCCTATCCTCTCGCGCCTCCCCATGGACCATGGTGCTCATGGTGCCCGCCTCTGACCACCGCCACCGTTACTCGTCCAAATCTTCGGCTCATCCCTCGCTCCCCCCCTCCATCGACAACTCATCCTTTCCTCCCCCTCGTTCGTGTCAGTGTCTCCGCCTCGTCTCAGCACCCGTACACCCCGTCGCCATAGAAGGAGAAGGCCCGTCTGGCCGCGGCGGCCCCGGAGGCGGGCATCGCTAGCGACACTGCAGCTCCTCCCCCGTTGAGATTGGATGGCGCTGGGCAGATGCTCAAGCTGCCCGCTCCTCCCTCACGTGAATTTACCCACAGAGACCATTGGCTTACCCACGTCTCCATGGTTTCTTTTGCACTGGGGTTTTCTTCTTCCTTGTTGCATGGAACTGAGGAACCCACGATGTGGTGGTGGGATGAGGAGCTCCTCGCCGAGATCTAAGACAATGTGGCATGTCATGTGGGGCCAGGTGACCAAGGCGATGGCGGCGCCGCCCTGGCTGTACCACTAAGATGGGAAGTGATGCAGGAGCTCCCCCGCCTCCTTCAGGTTGCTACACCACCCCTAATTCCACTCACCAGCGGGAACATCATCGGCAACAGCTTGAAGCCCTAGTTTATATATACATCAGACATATACGGTCCGTGATCTTCTCACAGGATGGCAAGGTGTGGCATGTCCTGAGAGGTGAGAGGAAGCGGAGACAAAGGCAGTGAGGTGACGACTCCAGCTGTGGCATGTGGTTGGTGGGAAAGCTGTGGGTTCAACAATCATGAATTACAGTGCATGTTGATCTGATGGGATTGATAGGACGACGAGAACATAGCGACAACAATGGCGCCAATCCAATGTTTGTATCTAGGCTTGGTCGCTTGGTGCATGCATGTCCCCTGTTCGAGTAAATGTATCCTTATATTTATTCCCTCTTATAACTCATTAGCATCCAACTTAGCACATTTTTATGTTACTTTTTGACAAACCCTTCTTCTAATTGTGTAGGTAATGGAGTAAAAGTATCAGGTTGTAAGTTGTAACCTTATGCAGCTATGCATCTTGTTGCGGATCTTCTAGAATTTCCAGAGAAGAAAGGGTAATCTGATTGAGCTAATTATCTCTCAAGTTAAATTTTGTGTTTGGGATGATCATTATGCCTAACCATTGACTTATATAGACAAGATTCTATCAATAATGACTACCATTTGCAAAAAAAATAACATATATATGTGTATATAGACAAACTTCCAGGACTACAAGGATTTCCGGTTCTATGTTGCAAATTTGTGTATTGCATTTTTCTAAGACTACACGATTCTTTCTATCTCATTTGGTGACTTGTTTTCATAAACCATATACATCTCTCATGTTAGAGTTGTGTCGAATATTATTGTACAAGGTAGGTTACAGTTGGACTTGGTTTGGACTGTGTGTAGACATGGTAAGAGTTCTAGGCCTCTCACATATATCGGGGGTAGGCACACGATGTAACCTATGCCAACATAATAGCACATGCACGCAGGGGGAGCCGGCGTCCAGGCGGCTGGGGTGCGGTATTGTAGCGGTGTCATGGGGAGGAGCGCCCATAGTCAGGCCCCGGAGATGTAGCCATATCGGTGAACCTCGTTAACAAATCTCGGTGTCGTGCTCGTGTGATTGTTTCGTCCTCGGTAGATCGACGGAGCGCCTCGAATTTATTCTAACATCTCGAAAGAAAATTATATACATAATATAATTTACAATCCTATGTATTACACATGTCTCCCTCTCACAACAGTATATATGTTTGCTACATTACTGCTAACTCATTTTGGTA